TATAACGTACTATATATATATATATATATATATATATATATATATTTTTTTTTTATATATACATACATTGGAAATTAATGGTGCACCTCAGAAGCCCACTTAAAAAATCTAGTATAGGCTTGGAAAGCCCCGATGAGGGCTTGAAATCTAGTTTTGCCCGTAATTATGAAATTAGAAACTATGGGTTGGAGCCAATATACCCGTGGATAACTTGAAACACATCAGCCAATAAAATTATTCTCCTTACCCTCCACAAAATTCAAAGTCCCGTGAAATTTTGGTTTCAAATGTATTTAAACTCATTGCCTAACACAAAGCCAGTTGATGAGGCAGTCTTTAAAGGTCATATAAAAGGTCTTTCTTGCCCCTTCCCTGGCTTTTTCCTCTCCTTATTCTCCCTAACCTTCCTCTTCTCTCCTTCCCCTACCATCTCTGTACGTCTCCCTTCTTTAATTAGTTTTTCTTCCCCACCTCTTTCCTCCGTTCCCCCAGATCCATGTTTTTCCTTTATTGTTGCTCCCTCTACCACACTCTTTATGTCTCATCTTTTTTTACCATCCGCTTCCATCTTAGTTTCCTTTGAGGGAAGAAAAAATACTACTAGAAAAAAACTCTGCATTCCCTCCACAAAATTCAAAATCCCTTGAAATTTTTGTTTCAAATGTATTTAAATCAGTGGTTTAAAAAACGGATCGGTGCCTCATATTGGGCCCAAAAACCCACTCGGATCGGCAATACGAATCGGAATCGGCCGAATCGGTCAGATTAAGCTTTAAAAAAATGCAAAAAAATAATTAAAATTCATTATAAATATTGTTTTTTAGGAATCCAATAGGAAATGGGGGTACTACATTATTAACTTTCATTTGTTTATCAATTTGCGAATATTGAGATGTTCTTTCCCTGTATGAACTTATATTAACCATTAAATTTACATCACACAAAAGAAAAATGATAGAATTATTATGGATGAAGTATATAATCATGCATGGACAAGAAAAATATGATTCTTGTTGTATTACCTTTTATTTTATTTTTTTGACAAGAAATACTTGTTATATTACTTTTTATTTTTTGATGAGAAAAATAAGAAAATAATAAGAAATACTTGTTGTATTAAGAAATACTTTTTTTGACAAGAAATACTTGTTGCATTACTTTTTATTTTTTTGACGAGAAAATAAGAAAATAACACGAAATACTTGTTGTATTAAGAAATACCTTTTATTTTATTTTTGAAAAGAAATACTTGTTGCATTACCTTTTATTTTATTTTTTGACAAGAAAAATAAGAATATTTGTATTAACTTTTTTTTTTTTTTTTGCTTCTTGTCTTATCTTTTATTTATTTGTTTGACAAGAAAAAAAAAAAGAAAACGATGGGTTTTGGGGTGCTTGATCCGGGGCACCGATTCGTTTTTTAATGATAATATAGTATTATAAGTATTAGTTATAATGTAGTATTATAATATTACATCAAAATAATTTAAAAATATTAGAAAAACTTCCATATAATTTAAATATAATTATAATGTATATAAAAATAATTATATTGACATAAATTTAACATAGTTATGTTTAAGTTATTAACATAAGCAAACAACAATTTCATATAATTATTTAATTTTTGAGAATTGTTATTCTTGTGGACAACAACTACACGTAAAAGTAAACAAAATTGATGAAGGATCACTTTAGTTGACTAAAGTTCACCCTCACGAACCACACAATTAAGTGAAGTTATATTAGAATAACGGTTATTCAATAACCCTATGGCGACCCATTACTTGATTTAGCCCTTGCTGGGAAATATCCCACATCCAAGCCTTACGGAAGAATGATGTCGTATAAATTGTCCGTGGCAAGGATGCGTTAGCGTGTGCGTGTGTAGAGGCTTCTGACGTTGTCGCCTTTACGTGATGCGTGAGCTTGGAGTGACGTGTCCCATGTCTTTGTTGACCATGGACAACTAACGTAAATGCCCCCAGTCTTTCAAGAAATTTCAGACTCTACCCTTACCAAGTTGAAATCGCCGGTCACTGTTGCGACTCGCTGATTCACTGTAGCGAATCACCGAGTTATCGCCAGGGATTGCCGGTTTGCTTCTAAACACGCCCAATTTCCGGTTATGAGCAAGAATCGGCGCGGGATGATCGATTCCCGGGTCGGATCGGCCGATTCCGACCCAACTCGGTGAGTTTTAAAACACTGATTTAAACTCATTGCCTAACACAAAGCCAGATGATGAGGCAGTCTTCAAAGGTCATATAAAAGGTCTCTCTTGCCCCTTCCCCTGCTGTTTCTTCTCTCCTTCCCCCAACCTTTCTCTTCTTTCCTCCCCCTACCATCTCTCTTAGTCTCTTCCTTCTTTAGTTAGTTTTTCCCCCCTGCCTCTTTGCTCTACTCACACAGATCTCTATTTTTCCTTTATCGTTGCTTCCTCTACCACACTCTTTTTGTCTCATCTTTTTTTACAATCCTCTCCACCCTCTGGGGGTTCTCTACCCCATCCTCCCCACCCCTGCCCCCCGGCAGCCCGATCCAAAAAAAAAAGTCATTTATTTCACAATAACATAGTGCCATTTTTGTCATTTATTTCACATCGACATAACGCCCTTTTGTTTTTTGGAAATTTATAAAGAACTATATCATTTCATTAATATAAATCGTACACATATATTTAGCAAAGAAACAAGGAAAGAACAAAAAACAAAATATTAACAATAAAAAAAGAAACAACACTCAAATTCTAAATTTTGGTTTAGAGCACCTTGCCTTGCCAAACGATTTACTTCTTGGTTAGCCTCTCTCTAAGCATGTTACCTCTATAGCTGTTAATCCCCCTCAATTACCTCTATGCTTGCAGCTGCCATTCCACATCCTGGCCTCAAGTCCCTTGTGGTAACAATTGAAACTCATGCAAACCATCCTAGGGTCAAGAATAGTGTTCCAAAATTGCCAATCATTAGTCCATTTTTGGCCCAAATCGATGAACCGGGCTGAGTTCTCCTTAAATTGTTAGGTTCCCTATAGCAAACAAGGCCGTTTTCTACCCAGAGTATGGAATCAGTGAATTTTTGGAAAATCAGGTGGCCTTCCCATCCAATAATTGAACGCCGTTTTTCACTTTTTTTTTCCCTGATCCCCACTTGAAAATTGGGTGGCCTTCCCATCCATAAATCGGGCTTTCAGCATCACCTTGTTTGTTACTTTGTGCTTTCGGACTTTGTGCATTTCTTTTTTCCCCTTTATTTCGATTTTGAATTTGAAGGGCTTCACAATTTGTAAAAGCCCTTAAAAGGTTTTTAAAGAACATGCAAACAAGAATCCAAAAGTAGTGTATTGTTGTACTTTTCTCTATGCCTTACTATAAGCTTGTTGTTTAGTTCTTTTGTTATGTTTTCGTTTTCTGCTTGAGTATTGATTATTGTTGCTTGATGATTATTGACCTTTTTGTTGCCTGTAATAGTTTTTTGACTTTTTAATTATTTTCCTAGATTTATTCAGTTTTTTTTCCATTATTTTCCCTATTTTCTTGTTTTCCTTTTTTTTCATAAAATTTTAAATACTTTGAATCATTTCACTTGGTCCGACCGGTGAAGTAGTTGTTGCGGCAGGTATGACGGCCGGTGCCCTTTTCGGTTCGGTCACCGGTCCGGTCTTGAAAACGTTACACGGGAGTATAGAATCTTTTGACTTATACATGACCACAGAATTTGTCATCCAACTCTATATAAGAAAACTGTATATTGATTATACTTAGGACTTGGTTTCTATGCGGCCAAGCCCGCATATGTAGAAATGCGGGCCTATTAACGAATGTATTTTTGAGATGGATTTTTGGACTTAATTTTTAAGGACATGTACTCTCTAACACGGAGATCATGAATATGAAAAAATAAGTAAATTTTTAAAATTAAAAATAATAATTTTAGTAAGAAAACATTTGGACCGTTAGTTTCCATTGGTTTTAGATGGAACACCTAAAGAGTGATGCTTTACCCTTTTTGAGTGCATATGTTGTTATGTTATGCGGTCCAGCCCGCATGAGACAAATTTCCTTATACTTGATATAACCAGTCACCCTTTCTCAAGTGAAGGGGAAAAAGAAGAAAGTACACGGCCTGTGAGTACAATGTACATGAACTATTGTGCCTCTTAAGCGGACAATGGTGTGCTTCTCCAGAGGAACAATTCATCTTCAATGTCCATTATTATGTGTTTTAAGGCAGTGGAGCATCCATTACAATTTTTCTTGTTCTTTTTGTTTCTATTGTATTTGTCATTTTTACTGTCATTTGCATGTTATTATCTTCTAGTTCTTCGTTCAATTCATTTTTGTCATGATCGTGATCATTATCTTCAGTGCTATAGTGTTGATCATTAAAATTATTCTTTTTATCATGATCACTAGAATAAGTGCAGTTTTGATAATCATTGTTATAGTTATTGTTGTTATTGTCACTGTTATGTTTATTTCACCATCATCATCATCATCATCATCATCATCATCAATAACAACATCATCATCCACATCATTGTTGTCATTGTCATCATCATAATCATCATGATTATTATTACTGTGGTCTACATTTCTCCTGTACTTATGCAAGCTTGTCTGCTTTTACTTGATCATTAGCTTGTTGTTACACAGGTCGGGGCCAAACGCAAGCACCCTTGCAGTCCTGACGATGTTACAAGAGGTGCTGCTCGGGCTCATCAGTTTCTGCGTGACTTCTCACAACTACCTTTGGAAGGGATGAACTACAGTCAAGCTCTACAAGAGGTCGCTAAGTTAAGGTGCAGCCTGGAGAAGGATGCCTTAGATAACCCTTGGCTTCAACAGTTGTTTTAGATGTAACCTTGTTGGCGATAGCAAGAAGGAATGTAACCCACATCTCTCTCTCTCTCTCTCTCTCCACGTTCCTTCAAGGACAATAGTACGATGTCATTTTGTCATCATGTTTCGAGGTCTTTGTATAGTGCCAATTTTGTGTATTATTGGTTGATATCAATCGACTAAACATGAGATTAGGTCCAAGGCAAGCTGTGGACGAATCAGCATGTATCAGTGAGAACTTGATAGCTTAGGAATCACAGGTAAAATATGTGATTTCCGTTCTTTATTTTGTAAAGATATGTAATGGGTTTTTGGTTTCAACTATTTAAGTGCAGTTTTAGACATTTTGGTTGTTCCAGTTTTAAAGCAATGGTAAATTGTTGAGACCCTTCTTCAGTGACGTGAAAAGTTCGATAAAGAATTCATTCCTGTGACCACACTTTTGGACATAACCACCATATACCTTTACGACAATGTAACTGCGTATTCTGTTGTTATATGGTTGTGTAAACTAACTGGGGGCAAAATTAGTTTTAAAGGCTCATAAATTTTTGCATGACCTGACTCCCTTGATTTTATCTACGTCACTCCTCTCTCTCTCCCCACAATATTCTCTTACATCTCTTGCCATTTTTTTTTTTTGTTCTTTTGAGCGTTAACCTAAACTTTCATTAATAAGGAGCAAAAGTGTTACAAAGAAAGTAACAAAGGAGAAAAGGAGGAGAAGAAAAGAGAGGGGAGAGAGAAGAGGATAGGGAATGGGGAAAGATAAGGGGGGGAGCTGTGCTAGAGCATCTGCATTGTTGTTTTTTTTTTGGTTGATAGGATAAAAGATAACTTTTTTGCTAGTAATGGCTATTTGAATTTCATCCATAATCATTGTCCATTGTCAAGGAGTCGTATGGGGATGGATGCACCAATTGATCACATTAGCAGAGTCACCCTTAACAATGAGATTTAGATGATTGTGATTGAGCTTGAGCACACCTTTTTTAACTGCTTGAAGCTCAGCTTCGTTCATCTCTTACCTTCCTTCTACTTCTCAGGAAACCTGGCTGAGTAGGCTGACCTTCAAAAAGCTGGTGCAAAAAGAAATACCCTTTTGAGGATGAAGCAGTTCCCGCGATATTCTTTTAGTTGAGGGAACATCAACTTCTTGAATTCCTAAAATATTGGGAATTTCCATAAGGAAGAAAGGTTGATAAAAGTATTGTGATTATCACTAGCAAGACAACCATTCTTGAAGAATATTGGTCTCTCAACGAACTTTTCGAGGCCATGATCAAGAAGGGTGTTATTACCTTGAATTTCCCGGACAATCGGGAGGAAGTGGCCACAACCAATCCTATCTTCATTAATTCAAGGAGCAAAAGCCAAATCTTGAAATTGCCTGCCAGTGGGCTAAATTCCTGCACCCATGCCATAAGTGGCCAATGGTGCGTCATTCGAGCAACTGCTGTGTATTTCCATGTAGTGATTGCGCATCCTATCCTACCCAAGAAAGGACAGGGAGTAAAAGGAAAATAGAAGAAGAATAAGATTTGCCCCCATTAGAGTCATCTTCTTTCTCCAGTAAAGGATGAACGCAATATTGTGCATTCAATCGAAATTCATCAAAAGGTTAGTGCAAATCCTGTGCACTTGATAGCTGGTGGAAGATGGTAGGTCCACAAAGCCCCAAAGATCGATCTGATAATATGGCCACCCGGCCTAGGTCATCTAGCGAAGGGAGTCTTTTGGATGACATTCCTGAGATATCTCATCCCCATAAGTCTCCGCATGGCCAATGTCAAGTACGATCCATCTCCGTGTTGTCACTCAGAAATGAGGTATGCATCAATCAATGCTCTTAAAGATCCTCATGTATATTGGGATTAGGTAGAGGTAAAGGAGTTTAAGGTAACATTTTGTAACTTTCACTCCAGTGTCCATGAGAATCACCCCTGCACTTTCACTATCCCTGGGAATCATCCGGTGACTTTTCTAGATTTTGGGATACATGTGAAAATTGGTAGGGCTGAAAACTATGTTTGAGGTGTTGTAATTTCACTTGTTTGGTAACGAGAAAGCTGGAAACTATTGTTAATTTCACTTGTTTGGATATGGGAAATTGTCCGTATTATTATGTATTTCATGGGAAAGCCAGAAATTGTTTGTAATATTGTTCATTATGTATTTCATAGGAAAGTCAGAAACTGTCTGTAATATTGTTCATTATGTAACATTTCGTGATTAAATAAAGTTCCTACTATTCATCCAACATATTACCAAAATTGTGTTATAGAGTCAAGGAATACCAATATTTACATAAATATTGAAGAAAACTGATTTTCTGAATATCAAAATTTCATTCAATGCACATGTAGCCCTCAAGAGCGAACATATTTTATTTATTTAAGAAATAGATATTTAAAAGTTTGAAAGCTAATCGTTCCGTATTGCCACCACATCAATACATTACAGATGATAAGTTTGTCGCTTTTGAAATAGTAACACGAAACCAATCAGTTGAACGAAGAGATAATGAGAGAGAGATGTAGATAGATGACAATCTTATGTCACACACATGTATGCATACACTAACGATTTTGGTGTTGTTGATATTGTCTCCACATTTTTGCCAAAATTTGAGCCCTCAGTTGTACCCCGACATTATGGGCCGACCTACTCTTAGAGTTCAAATCCTCAAGTTCATCTTCTTCAGCTTCGCCTTCCTCTTCGTTAGCTCTTTCGCCCAACTAGAGATCTCTCATCACTTCGCTAAGAACTAGATGTTGAAATGGTCTATCTTGATTAGAGCTCTGGGCTGGCCTCATTCGTATATAATTGTGCAAAATACAAGTGACATTTACAATTTTAACTTGTGTTGTAAGTGGATACTGAAATTGAGACCTCAAGATGGGAAACTTCATTTTCTAGGCCCCAAAGGTGCACTCCACGATATTTCTTAATGATGAATGTCATTGATTGAATAACTCTTTCGGAGTCAGCTCTTTCCCTAAGTTTCACTTAAGTTTTACTGTGCACCACGATGTGGGGTATTGAATCCACACGTAGTAGGGTACTACGCATCTACAAGGCAATACTTCCATATACCCAATATATCCAATATATTAGTATTCTTGCCATACTAACCTAGAAATGTCTAATAAATTAAATTTTTATTTTGCCTTGAGGCGCTATTAATAGATGCCTGTCCTGCTCAATAGCATTATGCAGAATTCTAGAGCTTTCTACAGAACCTTCCCACCCCGTTAATACATATGTGAAGCACATGTTGAAGCTAACTGCATGCAAAAACATTTTGAGATGTTCCCCCTTCCGATTACAGTATCGCTTTTGTAGTGCCTTTGGAATCCTAGTTAGAATGTGGGTCCCATCCAATGCTCCAACACAATTCTAACATGAAAATTTCTAGGTAAGCAATTGTAATAAGATCATCATCATTTATTAAATCTTACATATACACAATGTTCACCTTGGAAAAAGGAAAAAATCTTGTATCCCCTCTGATTTTGCTAGGTGTTTTTTATGAGACATGAACGATAAAATACAGAGTCAATCACAATATTGCATTTAGGACACTATTGAAGCAATAACTAATAGTTTGTCCAGAATGTTGAAATTGAATCTGCATGACCGTATTACGTACATTGTGTGCGATTATAGTTAGAAATATGACTACTTGTTCTTCTACCATCATATTCCGAGAATTACGAAAGATATCACCTTCCTTTAAAATTCTACATAAGCTAGAAAGAAATATGTGTCCATCCATAATAAATTGAAGTAATTGTTCTCATAAGATTGTAGTAAATATGAAACACAACACAAGGTTGCTGCATATGCAGTAATATATTTCACATAAATCTCATTTACCTCAGATGGATCCGTACTGATAGTTTAACCTGTGAATTCCAACATGGATGTACATTTCACATAATCCATGAAAAAAAATAGCCATTCACATAATCCATGGAAAAAAAAACCTTGTCATATAAACCATGAAGAAAAAGCCATCCACATAAACCATAAAAAAAAATCATCCACATAAACCATAGAAAAATAAACCATCCACATAAAGCACAAAAAAAAATAAATCCACATAGTGGATAAAAAAAAATCCACATCAAGCATAGAAAAATAAATCATCCACATAACATATATTAAAAAAAAAAACATCTATATAAAGCACATAAAAAAAAAAGTCTACAAAAAGCATAAAAAATTAAAATATCCACATAACATATGGAAAAAAAAAACATCCCTATAAACTATACAAAGAAAAGATCCACATAAAACATAGAAAAATAAACTATCCATATAAAGGCTATCCACATAAAGGTCAACAAAAATATCCACCTAAGCAAAATAAATGAACATCTGACGCATAATAAAAAAAAGAAAAAAAAAAAGAAGTCATCTCCCAAGTCAGTACAGCTTAAGAAATAAGCATCCAATACAAAACTACTTATGAAGGATATGAGTCTGCAACCATAGCTTACGGTACTACGGAGCAATGAATAGGAATATGCAAGCCTTCATGGGATCCGCAAACAAGTCATACAACTGTGGATCCATACCCTCCTCTTTGTAAACTTCCATACATTTTGTCTGAAAGAGGACCAAATGTTCCAAAACTTTATTGAATTTTCCAACATCTTATCTATAAAGGTCGATAATGACGTAAGTGCATAAGCTTGTTGTTGTTCTATTACGTTTGCCCATTGCCTCCTAAGAGTCCCCACGCTGTAGATGACTGACATCGATTCCTCTTTCTGGTCTCAAGGAGGCCACGCTGACATCCCCACCATCAGTATCAGATATATCCTCTATGTCCATTACACCATCCTCCACCTCTAAGAGCATCCAATTCAGGTTCTCAGCCTTTGATTGTGGCTCATTGTACCCCTCAGTCCTATTTATGATAGATGAACTTTTATTTCCCTCAGCTATCCCTTCCCCAAACACACTATCCATGTCATCCAGAGGAAGTTCTTACTCTGATATTTTGATGCCCAACTGTGATTCTGCAATGAACATATCGACACATGTTACATAATAAATAATTCTAATAAGTCTATACTGTGCAGTACTCCTCCCATACCGCCCAATCTATAGTGACTATCCTCCTATCATCAATCTATCTGAATCCATATTCCCCGATAAGTTTTTTAATAGTTGTATAATTAGCTTTCAATGTCCGCAGTTTATTCTTTATTCTTGTTCGGTCAAACCCTCGACCATATTTTTCATACAACTCTCGCGTAATTTTGACCCATCCCTCCCTATAAAATACCCATTTTGTCTTCAACTTGTCTTAATACAACGGGCCATCACATCTATAGAAG